TGTCGAGTAAAAGAATACCAGTTTGAGAAATAACGTGAAGTAGATTGCAAAAGTTGGTTGCCCAGAGTTTCTGTCAAGAAGTGGTGCATTACTTTCAGTTGGTCCCGAGGGGCAGACTTCGTCAAGTAGCTGATCAGAGATTGAAGCAGTTCAAGTCGAGAAGTATGGTTATGAAGTAACCCACTTTCAAGATATGATCCAACTACTCTAAGGTTATGTTGTCTTAAAAAAAAACCCTCAAGCTTTCATATCTCTGTGAGCATGAGGTAAAGGAAAAGATTTGTCAAGATTCTGTTGAACAGGGGAAAGCGTGTCGAATATTCCGTCGAGTAGGTATTCATCCAATCTAAGGCATTCGAGTCGGGATTTTATCCCTCAAAGTACAGTCAAACTGGGGCAGTTATGTTGAGATTTGACAAATATCTCTGAGAATGTGTTGGTCAAAGGAGAATCTCCCCATAATTTGAAGATGTATGGGCATTCACTCAAGCATAGTTGGAATCATCCCCAATTTTGGTTATCTAAAACATCATGTTCCAAAGTTCGTAACACTGGGGCAGATTGTCTTCAACAATATAAATCTCAAAAAGTCCTCTCGAGGCAATTTTTCCGCAAAAAAAACCTTACAGACTGGGGCAAGAATTTATGTAAGAGCTTTCTCTCTTCTTCAGTAGTTGATCAGATCACGTCCATACGCAGGCTAAATGACCTATGAATTTGAGAATCATGCCGAGAAGTCAGGATTGTTATCTTCGTCTTATTAGAGACTCAAGTCCATTTGCTGATATCCTTTGTCCGAAGTCAAGGTTATTACCCCCAGTTGAAGTTTGGATTGTTATCCTCAGTAGGATATGAGCAGTAACGCAAAGATTATTTGGGTTTGTTTACTCGTACAAGACGTGATGGAAATATTGTTTCCTAGGGAGATGCCGCTTCCCAGTAAAAGACCTATTGCTACTCGACAAAAATCTGTCTACCAAGGGGTTTCTCTTCTAAGATATTTTCTCCCCAGTGAAGCATCCTCATTTCTCTACAGGAGGAGAATGTTCTTTCTCCCTGGAAATGTAGAAGTTGTTTAAAGTCTAAATGATTCTTTTTCATCGGACTGCAATTTATTTTTGCAGCATCTTCTTTAAAGTCCACTTTTTAGTGGCATTTCTCCTCGGAGTCGACGCATTAAAGTTGCAATTTTTCATCGCAGTTTTTACCCAGTGATTTATTAGTTCAAGTTTTCTATTCTTCAGTAAGGTTTTCCATTCTAAGCAGGGGCATGTTGCCCCAACTTCTATTTTTACAAGTACTATTGGTCTCGTACAACCAGAAGCATACCAACAAATGAATCAGGAAGGGTCTGTATGTGACTAACATGAGGATTTTCTTATAATGAGATCCAATTTCCCCAGTGGAACTATTCTTATTTCCCTAATGGAGTAAGTGTCATATCTCTCAGGTGAGGTGTGCAAAAGAATTCTAGTCACAACTCTTCCGTTACCAGTGGTAGAAAATTTTGTTGAGATATCCCTAGTGGAGTTTCTATCCCGGGATGTTCATTTCTTCCCCAAATAAGGATCTTTTACCTCCCAGCAATGATATCCGCAGTGTGGTCTAAGTAGAATTCTTTTTATTTAAGAATTTCTATACTCCCCAACAGAAGTCATCTTTGTCAAAGAATTCCTATGCCAGAAGTTTCTATTCCCAGCAAAAAATTTCCTCTTTCTAATAGAGGATAAGAAACTTGTTCCCCGTGAAGTTGGGAGTTTGATCAGAATTCAATATTTTCTCTGAACCGCAATTTATGTTTGCAGTATTATTCCCAGGAAGTTATTTCCCCATTGATATCGATATTTAGGGGTTGACGGTTCCAAATCTCGGTTCCCCATTGAAGTACATATTGCCTTTTCTCTACAGAAGATCTGATGTGCAAGAATAATCGTTCGGAAGTTCTTTTTCTTCTCAACAGCCGATTGTTGACATGTTTTCGTAATGCATTGCATCTAAACATGCATCATTACATTGCATCTACTAAAACTCGTAGCATTTCCATTGTTTGGAGCATTACGCTATAAAAAAAATTCAAACATGTATGAGTATAAGCCAATTGTGTCCACATGTGGTAACCAGATTGTTATACGCTCATATTTGATTTATCTCCACAAAAAGCCTAGGGTAATTCTATTATGTTTCCCCAGCAGAGTTTGTTTGGATTCACCATCAGTCGGGTCTTTGGTATTTCTCCATTTCCCTAGTAAGTTTGTGGTTTGTGCTTTCCTTTACAAGCCTTTGGTTATTTCACCTGCGTTTTTTTTGTCGTTAGAGTGTGAGTAAGAGTCAGTGTATAACCTTTCTTGCTTCTCAAGTGTTTGAGTATCTATACTTGGTGTGTGGTAATTCAGATAATTGCCACTTTTCAAGAACTACACCTGCCTCTGGCCTAAGGGATTTTAGCCCTTGCGTATTTGCAAACTATCGAAAGCCCAACATATAATGGCAACTTTTGTTAGAGTCTGCTTTGACCAGCCTTTTTCTCTTGTAGAGTCCACCTTCGATCAGTGCTCTTTAAAGGTCATGCTTAGTCGGTCCCCTGTTTTGGTTTATCCATATTAGTCGGGTCCTCCTTTTGTTAGCCTAGCTAACCTTTTATGTTAAGAGTCCTTCAGTATCTCTTCGAAGTCCAGTTGTCTGGCGTGCCCTTTCAGGCGAGTGCGTCCTTTTATTGGGGTTTCCTTCAGTTAGTTTTGTGCCGGTGTTCACTATTAACTCTAAACATTTGTTTCTTGATGATCAATTTCGCTTTTGTGTATCTAACTCTGAACAGATATACATACCTTTATCTTTCAAAATCCCACTTCGACTGGTACCCTTTGTTAAAATCCCGCTTCGGCTGGTATCTTTCAAAATCCCGCTTCGGCTGGTACCCTTTGTTAAAATCCCGCTTCGGCTGGTATCTTTCAAAATCCTACTTTGGCTGGTACCCTTTGTTAAAATCCCGCTTCGGCTGGTATCTTTCAAAATCCCGCTTCGGCTGGTATCTTTCAAAATCCCGCTTCGGCTGGTACCCTTTGTCAAAATCCCGCTTCAGCTGGTATCCTTTGTTAAAATCCCGCTTCGGCTGGTATCTTTCAAAATCCCGCTTCGGCTGGTATCTTTCAAAATCCCGCTTCGGCTGGTACCCTTTGTTAAAATCCCGCTTCGACTGGTATCTTTCAAAATCTCGCTTCGGCTGGTATCTTTCAAAATCCCGCTTCGGCTGGTATCTTTCAAAATCCCGTTTCGGATGGTATTTTCAAAATCCCGCTTCGGCTGGTATCTTTCAAAATCCCATTTCGGCTGGTATCTTTCAAAATCCCGCTTCGGCTGGTATCTTTCAAAATCCCGCTTCGGTAGGTATCCTTCGCTAAAAATCCTGCTTCGACCAGTGTGATTTCTTTTGAATCCACCTTCGGCTGGTATCATTTGTCAGGAGTCCCATTCGTTTGGTCTCCTCCCTCAGTAAGTTCGCCTTTGATTGGTGTTCTTTTGTGAGAGCTTGCTTTGGCCTGTCTCTTTCGTACGTATCCGATACCGACCACAGATATGTATCTTTTTTATCTCTTCTATGCGTATCCAATACCGACCATGGATATGTATCTTTTCTATCTCCTTCTTACATATCTGATACCGACTACGGATATGTATTTTTGATGTCTCTTTCTTGCGTATCCGCTACCGACCCCGAATATGTATCTCTGATACCTTCTTTGTTATGTCTGCTACAAACTTCAGGCATATATCTTTTGATATCTTTCTTACAAGTATTTGTTACTAAATCCCAACGAGTGTTCCTCGATAACCAAAGTTATTCTTCTGTGTGTCAAACTCTGGTTAAACATACATCTAACTCCGATAACCACTTTAACCTAGAAAGAAAAAAATATATATATAAAATACAGAAAACCAAAAATATAGTGTATACCTAACTGGCTTCGGAGCACAAATTTTCGGGTTCCTTTAGTATTTCATCTTCTTCTACCTTGAAAGTTCGAAAGGCTGGCGCCAATCTCACCTTCAGGTCGAAGGAGATTAAATAGGGGAAGCTGTTGCACCCCAAAATTTGCCCTCCTAATTTCTTTTATCTGGCTTAGACTCTTGCATTTATATTCCATTAGGTCATTAACATACATTTGCATTCAACAAAGCGCCTAAGGTTCAAAGTTCAGTGGTTGTGCGATATTAGGGTTTCGTAATGATTAAGGCGTTCGTGTCTGATAAAGGCTGATTTCTTATTCAGGCAGAGGGCAGTGGAATTAGGGTTGTGACCTGGGTCGTTGAGAATTTCTTTCTTCATCAATACACAAGGCTGTCATGGTTTATTTTCCTATATGCGATTAAAGCCAGGTTTTCGGTAATTGTGGTCCAATCGGGTTTTTCGTCGAAGATCATGAGATTAGGGTTTGTTTATCAAGGGACTTTCTCAGAGAGCCTTATATTGTGCGACATGAAGTATCATCTTCAAGGAAATTTCTTAAGGATTTTAGCCTTACATTTTCAAGTAGACATATTTGTGACTTGAATTACAAAAGTTGAAGCACAATATAAGATATGACGCGGGAGAGTGCTAATTGAGTTAGACAAACATGAATAAAGGCTTTGATTTTGGGAAATTGCGATATGGAGAGGTTGTTGTCTGGACTGAGTTCATGCATGAATATTATTGATTTGATTGAATGTTATGACATGTCTTGAGTTCAGGACTAGTTCATTGAATATGCAAGTTGGTTGGAATTCGTTCACCGAGTCATGAAGTGAAGTGCTTAGAGGATAATCAAATGGTACTAAAGAAGTCTAAGCATTGGTTTATTTTCGAGAATTTGATTCAAGCGAGTTTGGAGACCTTAATCATAAGGGTTTCTTGGAATGCAAAAGATGAGATACAAAGAAGCAAGCGTGTTTTCGATGCCATTGAAAAACCTTGTGAGATATCTTTATGGAATGGCCTTATGGCAGGTTACACTAAGAATTACATGTATGTGGAAGCCTTGGGACTTTTTGATAAGTTGATGTATTATCCTTATCTGAAACCTGGTAGCTATACTTATCCGAGTGTTCTTAAAGCCTGCAGAGGGCTTTGTAGAGTTGTGTTGGGACAAATGGTACATACTTGTTTGATAAAAACTGGTTTAATGGTGGATATTGTAGTTAGAAGTTCTCTTGTGAGTATGTATGCTAAATGCAATTCGTTTGAGTATGCTATACAACTGTTTGATGAAATGCCTGATAAGGATGTGGCGTGCTAGAATACTGTGATTTCTTGTTATTATCAAAGCAGGAAATTTGAAGAAGCTCCGAGATACTTTGGCATGATGAGAAGATATGGATTTGAGCCAGATTCAGTTACAATCACAACTACTATTTTGTCTTGTGCTAGGCTTTTTGATTTGGAGAGAGGGAGGGAAATTCATAAGGAGTTGATTAATAGTGGGTTTTGGCTGGATTCTTTTGTTAGCTCTGCCCTTGTTGACATGTATGGAAAATGCGGTCACTTAGAAATGGCTATAGAAGTTTTTGAGCAAATGCCTAAAAAGTCTGTTGTTGCTTGGAATTCCATGATTACAGGATATGGTTTTAAAGGCGACTACTTTTCATGCGTTCAACTTTTTAAGAGAATGTACAATGAAGGAGTCAAACCAACTTTGACTACTTTGAGAAGTATATTAATGGCTTGTTCACGATCAGTGCAACTACTAGAGGGAAAGTTTGTTCATGGATACATAATACGCAACAAAATACAACCTGATATTTTTATTAACAACTCACTCATGGATCTATACTTCAAATGTGGAATGGTTGAGTCAGCCGAAAACATCTTTAAATTAATACCGAAGACAACGCTAGTTTCTTGGAATGTTATGATTTCTGGATATGTAACTGAAGGGAAACTTTTTGAAGCACTTAACCTCTTCAGTGAAATAAGACAATCATTTGTTGAACCAGATGCTATTACTTTCGCCGGTGTTTTAGCAGCTTGTTCGCAACTAGCAGCACTAGAAAAGGGTAGAGAGATCTACAATTTGATTGTTGAGAGAAATTTGGGAAACAATGAAGTGGTTACGGGGGCTCTTCTTGAGATGTATGCAAAGTGTGGTGCTTTAGGTGAAGCATTTGGTGTTTTTAAATATTTGCCAGAAAGAGATCTGGTCTCCTGTACTTCCATGATTACCGCTTACGGGTCTCATGGTCGGGTCTATGAAGCTTTAGAGCTTTTTTCTAAAATGCTGTTGTCGAATGTAAAACCTGATAGAGTTACTTTTCTTGCCATATTGTCTGCCTGTAGCCATTCTGGATTGGTTGATGATGGATTGTATCATTTCAATGAAATGGTCAACGTTCATGGTATCGCGGCTAGAGTTGAACATTATTCATGCTTGACTGCTCTTCTTGGACGTGCTGGAAGATTGCACGAAGCATATGAGATTCTACAAAGAAACCCTGAAATCAGGGATGATGTTCAGCTGTTAAGCACCTTATTTTCTGCATGCCGTTTACACAGAAATCTTGACTTAGGGGTTGAAATTGCAGAAAAACTTATTGATAAGGATCCTAATGATTCATCACAAACTTCAAAGAGAAACCGTAAAGGCATTAGAAATTTCAGCTGAGTAAAGAGAAATTTACATTTCACATATGATGAGGAAGCTGGCATCTTCGGCTGAACGTTCCAAAACTACTCCAAAAAAAATCTCATTACAGCTGTCTAGGTAAAGCAAAAGGCTCATTCCCAGGAGGAAATTCTTAGCTCATCCACCTGTTAGGCCCTACATAGAAAGTTGGAAAGTAGAAAATTAGTTTAACAGCTCAGCTCAACAACTTGGTAACTAAACTTCTAACCAAAACTTTCTAATAGAATTCCAACACCTATAACAAACCCTCTAACTGTCAACTAGTCCCCATAACTAATTTCCAACAACTTACTAACAACCTACATAACAGAATTTTCTAACAGAATTCTAACAACTAACTAACCTCTGAACCGCCCATAACAGAAACTTCAACAGAATTTAATGAACTCCAACTGATTAATCCCCACCCTGCAATATCTAACTGAAACTACTGGATCCAATGGCTCATACAATCATCTTTATCTATATAAAGGAGCCTCTATCTTCATTCTTCGGAAGAGGATTTTTTTCTCCATAAATCACTAGAGAAAAATCTCAAATCTGCATTCTCTGAGTTATTTCTTCAGGTCTCATCAACATCATCACGGTTCTTATTTCGTAATCTTCATCATACTTCTTCCTCACTCCTTCAACCATAATTTCATCACTCAACTCCACCCTAACCTCTCTAACTCTCAACAACCTACAATTCCCCCTATTCTGCAAAGCACAGAAAGAAGCCGAACACACAAAAAGGGAAAAGCGCGAGAAGTATGCATCACCTACAAAAGAAGGAGAAAATAAATATCTCAAGAAAGTGAAAGAATCAGAGACGCAATACCTGGAATATCCGCTACACATCTGGTTTTCTATTTCTTATCATCTCCATCATTGAAATCGCATCGGACGATCTCCGATAGGTAACTCCTGAATCTCTTACTTTCATCATCTCGCATGAAACTTGATTGAATGAATATTCAAATGTGACTGAAATTCGATAATCTCGCACCTTCATCTTTAACTCATAATTCCGGATTTGGATATTCTCTAAATATGTGAATTTGAGTTGAAATTGGGAAAAAGGAAGATCACGATCGGAGAGATGAAGCGCGGTGTTTGAGTGAGATGATAGACAGAGATGAGGGCGAATCAGACGGTAGAGATGTGAAGTTGGATGGAAGCAACGAAAGGAGACATAAGTTAAAGAGGAGAAATCACGAATAAAGGTGAGAAGTTTGAGGAAGGAGGACGGTGTTTTTGCCGGAGATGAGTGACGCGCCGCTGCGTGAAGAAGAGAAGAGAGATATATGTGTTCATTGAAATTCCAAGAGCCACAATTTCAACCCTAATTTCCCCTTCATACACATTGTTCTCCTGTCTATTTTAAATTTTTCTTTTTAAATTTTCTTTTGTTTTTTTAAATATTAAACTGATTCATAAATAAGAGAACATTGTTGTACAAGTATTGGACTATGTTGGTAGTGGATGGGTGGACGGAACCACACATTCCCTTTAGGCCTGTTTCTGTGCATTTTTGACACTAAAGGCCTTGGAAGTTGCTACAAAAATTGGTTTAGGACGTTATTGCATGAACCTTGCTCCTATTTTGCGTGACCACACACCTTGAATCTTGGCTTGCACCCCCCTGATACTCCTTTACTTAATATTTAGGACTTTTTTGATGTTTTTTAGATTTTTGTTATGAAAAATTGTAATCAAAACCAATAAAAAAACGGTAAAAATATTAGAAGGCGTTTTTTTTAGAAATTAATTAGGAATATATTTATTCTTTCGCTAACCTTTTAGCCAATTTTAATCATTAGTTTTATTCATTTTTGTATCGTGTATTTTGTCTGCAATCTTTTAGTATGGATCGTGTGCAATATTTTAATACTTGCTACTAATTTTACTTGTTTGTATAATCTTTCATGACCCCTTGGGATATTTTGGTTCGCATTTAATCTTCGATTTGATTGAACCAAAATTAGACATTAGGATTCTAAATCCATGCATGCTAACATCAGGTAGACGTTTCCCTTTCATTCACCCTTGACTTAGGTCTAACAACACATGATAACATTAGGTTTAGAAATAGGCTAGTCTCCCCTTGACTTTTCTTGTTTCTTTTTGCATATGCATTTAAAAACTTCCTTTTCTTGCAAACTTTAAAAACACTTAAAAATTACTGATGAGAATGGTGCTTTTGTTGAGCATGGGAAATGATAAGCGGGTCTCTTCTCGATCTTATTGTTTTTTCATTCTAAGCTTTGGTATGGTTCATGTCTCAAAGACTTATTTCATGAATAAGTGGAGAAATGACTAAAATCTCTCCCTTGATATTAACTAGTTATTCTCTACAAGCAAAAAACACCAATAAACATAAAATTCTTTTTGCCTTCGGGCCTTCCTTTCAAACTCTTTTCAAAAGAGCATGTTAATTCACTTTTGTGCTGACGCGTAAGTCTCCAAAGGTCGAGTTGCGGCAGAAGGCAAAATTAATATCGCTCACTAAAAACCTAAACCAAATTCAAATTTTTGTGCGCCCAGGCACATTTTCTCCAAACCTTTTCCGAAAGAACATGTTAATTCACTTTTGTGCTGACGCGTAAGTCTCCAAAGGTCGAGTTGAGGCAGAAGGAGAAATTAATGTTGTTCATAAAAAAAATACAAACAAACAAAAACATATAAGCCGAACTACGACTGCTCTGATTCCTTAAAAGGGATACGTAGGCATCAGGGTAGGGCCCGAACGAGCACAATTTTATTTTCCCTACATTCTTTTTCTTCTTTCTTTTGCATGCATTCTCCCTTTAACAGTAATAAACAGTAAGCATAGATAGAACACACCCATAAGATATATAACAAGAGTGGATACCGTAGAGTACTACGGGCATGTGGGGTGCTAATACCTTCCCCTCGCGTTACAAACTCCCTTACCCTTATCTCTCGGTCGCAAGACCGTGACTTCTCCCTTCTCAGGTTTTCTCGATGTTTACCTCTCCCTTCCTGTGGGATAAAAGACGTTCATGGCGACTTCATTGTTTGATGATTTTCAGCCGGTTGTTTCAGTTGGCGACTTCACTGGGGACAGGTCGACCAAATGTTGGTCCATCCTGGAGTCGCTCCTAGCTCTTGCTTCCTTTTCTTTGGATGTTTATTTTTAAGCTTTCACTTTATTCATTTGCACATGTTTATCTGAGCATAAGTTTGCATTGCATTTTATTGCTTTCCATATTTGTTATCTATTATGCCGGATTCTGGTTTTCCATGTTGGGTGGGGATGTTACTATTGAGGTAAAAGGCCCAGTACCCAGGCTAGAGTGCAATAGGACACTAGGAATAGAGTGAGGGCATGAAGGCTATAGGACGTGGTCCGATTAGTGCAGTCATGTCATATACCACGCTCGGATGAGGTTCAAATGAATTACTATTGGCACCCACGTCTGTGGGTAAACCCATAGCACTTTCAGGAGGACCCGTGATTTTCGAGTTACCATTGTCTTACCCTGACCTAGTCTTCACCCATGAGTGGGGAGGGAATTTTATCACAGGTACAGATGGTGACTATGTTCAGATGGTTACTCATACTCGGATGGTGACTACGCTCAGACGATAACTATTGGTTCTAATGGCTATGATCTGGATTTCTGTTATGACTTTATGCAGATGCTATATCTTGTTGATGATCGTATGGTTCTTAGATTTATTTTCTGAGTTTCTGACATGTTTACCTGGAGGATCATTCAAGCCTTCAATTTTGGTATTCCCAGCATTGTTCATAAATGCTCAACAGTATCCGATGTTCCGGAAGCATTAATCTTGTATAATCAGTGATCTACATGGTACTTGGTTCTTATATGTGCAGAAGTTATGTCGGACCTTTGATCTGATGATACTCACATGGTTCAGAATAGTGTAACAATCATATTCGAAATGATGGAACCTTGATCCCATTTGATCTCATATCTGTGCATACATAACATGGTTAACCACATACTTAACATACATGTTCTGTGATTTCCAAGGAATCGTATTTGTAAGCCTTGTGCCAAACTTTTCCATCTTTTGCTTACGTAAAATCAAAATCAAAGCGCGTAAATTCCTTGGAAATGACGGAACATGACATGGCATCCGTTCATGTATCCCATGCATATTCATGCATCCATAACAGGTACTCGAAGATTGGGGATTCTTACTCAGACCATGTGTTCTCCTCAGAGGTTCAGTTTGATACTTACTATCATGTGCTCAGAGATCAGTTAGGGAATAACTCTATGTGGTATACATGCAAGCTTTGGCCCGTGGTCAGAAATTTCTTCAAGCAGAAAGATAATTGATTGAAAACTCGGATGAGCCAGGTTATGGAAGCTCTGATGACAATGTCAATAATCTTGCACCTACTGTCACAATAAAGGTTCTCTCTTCTCCTCATCTTTTGGGATTTTCTTCCAACCATGGAGTGCTACATAATCTCAAGTTCTTGGAACATCTTATCAGCAGATGGTTCACATGTACTATGTGATCTTATATCAGTGCTTCGTTCTTGTTGATCAACGTCAGACGTAGTTGCCACACCGGGGCATCAGACTTTTTAATCAGGGGCATCCTCCATAACTCTGTGTTCCCTAATTTGTTCAACATAGTCAGTCTTTATTTCCCAAGTGAATTCATGGGGCAAAGCTTTTAAGCCAAGACACAAGAATCCGGATGAGCATGTTGATGCGAGGCCAATGCATTACATCCTATTATTCCCAACTTTTCCTAGCTCTGATTTTTGAGGTCTTTCACCCACAAACATCTCTTCTAATTACGATATGTATGCTAGATGCATCCCCTATTCTGGGGTACCCGGTCTTAATATTGAAGATTACAAAGGAGTTGAAATATAAAGCCTAGCACCTGTTTGGTGTCTCTTCCAAAGGTTCATTTCCTTTTGGCCAATTGCCACATTCTTTATCACTAGGTGGATGTCTCTTTTTTTTTTTATAGAGGACAGACTA